TTAGCAGCCGTGGTGGGGAGGAAGAAAGGCTCTTGTCTGTGGCCAGAGGTAGAGATGCAGCTCTATTCCTGAAGTGCTCCAGGTAGAGCCAAGCCCCAAGGAGGCTTACGCTGGCCTCTGGGTGGAAATTTCCCATTGTGTAAACATGAATGAGGCTATTACGGTTATGAGAGATTCTCATAATAATGAAATAATGAAAGTTAAAATGGATTTTTACTAAGCTCAAATGTGTGTTAAATATATTCTTTTACCAGTTCTCACAGTGCATTATAGTTTCTTGTTCAGTTGTTTCTGTGCATTTCATATTCTGGGTTGTCTCGCCCATCCCTGCTCTCCAGACCTAATACTATACACTGAACAGGAGGTGCTCAACAGCAACTTCTTCAAACAGTACAGGATTTAACCACTCTACTAATTTAAAATTGGGTTTTTAACAGCAATTCAGCTGCTGTTAATGGGACCGTGTTATTGGAAAGTACTGCTTTCAAAATTCACTGAAATGTTACATTAAACCTAGAACAAACACCTAACTATTTTTGTGGGGGGTACTGTGAATCAAACTCAGGACCTTGTGCTTGCGAGGCAGGTGGCGGAACCACTGAGCTAAATCCCCAGTGGAACACCTAACTTCTTTGTCTCACCCCTAGGGTTTTCACTGAACCGTGTAACTGTGGACAGATACCTGGAGGGCTTCACTTCTTATCTAAAGTACAATGCTGAGATGACAGCACTTCTGTAAGGAAAAATGAAGCCTAAAATGGCTACACATTGGGGGGCTCAGGGGAGGTTTCCAGTGGACATTAAGTCCAAGTCTTCAAGGTCTCAGCACAGAAGTACCTCCTCCGTCTCAGTGGGAATAGCTGGCATCACGAGGTGATCCTGGCACCCAGCCACTGTTGTGTGCTGTGGTATAAATGTAGACTTCCTCGAGGGCTGTGGGAGACTGATAAGCAGCTGAGGACTGCTGCGAGGATAGGTGGCTCGGGTTCTGAGGGGGCTGCGGGAATCTCAGGTGAACCTCCAGTCTGCACTGGTGACAAGACGGCTTCACAGAATGTAACTTATAGATGAGCTCATTTAAATTGAAAGAGACCTGTGTATGCATAGGTGACTTCCTTTAGGCCAGAATTATGGGCTGAACTTAGAACCGAGGCTTTTTTTTCCAGTACCAAGGATTGAACTCAGGACCTTGCACTTGTGAGGCAGGCACGGTGCCACTGAGCCAAGTCTCTGGCCTGCGCCAAGACTTTTAATAGCTTGTGCAGTCCTCCAGCTTGATCTCTGTGACCAATCGCATATGCACACAAGAGAAGAGAAGGTAGCTTAGAGCAGCATCACTAATAAGCTTAAGGGGATTTCACCTTCGGCAACCCTAATAAGAATCAGTAATATAGTATGACTGCTGTTTACAGTAACATTCAGGAAATATCAATTGAATACCTAACCAAGCGATGGAAGTTTTAAAGTCTGCTAATGGAAATAATCCCGAACAATTTCCTGAAATGAGCTCTGCGGAGAATCACTTGATGTTACTTGTTATTATGCAGGGGGAGGTTCTGGTTTGGCAAATGGTGGGTTAAGTAACTGAGCACCACTATTCTGGGGATTTCTGGCCTTGAATTATGTGTATTGTGAATCTCTAAAAGGGGCTCAAGCTGACAGTTCTTTTGTAACAGATGGAATAAGAGGCTGCTGGTGGCTTGCGTGTGTCTGGGCTCATCTGCCTGCACCTGGATGGATGGATCCCCGTTGGCGTGGGCACCCCGCTTTGTCAGTGCAGCCAGCAGGGATTCAGAGCGAGTATCAGGACAGGGAAGGAAACTGGGTAACCGTGGGGGAGCACATAGAAGTGGGCTGTCAGGTGGGTGGGGGTGGCTGGGAAAGGGTGAATGAGAAGCTGGGGCGAAAAGTGACTGGGAAACATTCTTGTCCCGGCCCAAAGTAGAATTTTCTTTGCAGATGGCTGTGTCTTGCAGATTGTCCCTGTGTTCTTGGAAGTCAGTTCCTGGTAGTGTGGAAGTATTAGATGGTATTAAAGAGTGTTCTTTAAAATTCGGTCCAGTCCAAAGTCTGTGAAAGTGATTATTTCCTTTTGTTTGGCAATGTTTATTTCCTTGGTCTTCTTTTTCGAAGCCATTGTACTAGTTCCTGTGGATAATTAGACAAGATATTCATATGTGGTCTGTGTGAATTTATTAGTTGAATAATAGCACTAACACATGAGACATTGTTAGCAAACTGAGATGTAATGTGATGCAAACCATGCTTTTGGTTGTCTATTCAAGAAAGACGAGCATGGTGTGGAAGCTTCCTCCCAGACTGTGGGCTTGAATTTGAAGACTGATAGGATTTGGACAGCAGAAAGAACAGTCCCACCACAGGTCTGTAGCAAGCTGGGGTGGAGGCAGAAGACACAGAAGCTTTGGAGCAGAGCCGAGGCAGCATCTGGCAGCATTGTGTGGGAGATAAAGACTTAAGAGCCAACTCCTTAAGAGTAATTATTTAAGGGCTGGGGATTTAGCTCAGTGGTGCCACTGCCTGCCTCGCAAGTGCAAGGTCCTGAGTTCGATCCCTGGTACCCCCTCCAAAAGGATGAAAAAAAAAAAAGTATTTGGACAACCTGAAGACCAAAAGTTGGCTGTAAATTGGATTCTCTTGCTGGCCTCTTAGCATCATTATGGGGAATGAGAGAAGGAAATTGGCCATTTAGTCTGTGATACAGGCTGCTTACTCTGTTGTGTAGCCCAAGTTCGCTGGAGCAGTGGCCCTCGGGCCAGTGGCGTTAGTGTCACCTGTGAGCTGGGTACATAGTGGACATTCCTAGATGCCACTCAGGCCTGCTGAGTCAGAGTCTCTGGGCACGGGGCACAGCAGCCGATTGCAGAGGCTCTTGAGTGGTGAGTGGCATTGTGTGCAAAGGCTGCCCTAGAGGAGTCTTCCAGCTCGGTCAGAATCCCCGAGACGGGAGAAGATTTTAAGAAGGGTGGGAGCAACCGTGTTCTTTGCAGTATCGAAGGCCGTAGGGAATTCTTTGCGGCACCAAACTAAAAGTTCTACACATGATGTTTAATAAACACTTGTTTATATATTATTGATGACACCTGCTGTAGTCCTCTGTTGGGAGATGAAGATTTCAGAGCTGTGGGAACGCACATAGCCCAAATGATGATGCCATGAGGAGTCTGATATTAGGCTTAAATCTTACGTTTAACAGTTTTTAGGGACCGTCCACCTTCTGTGACCTGACACTGTGCTCTGTGCTGGAAATAGAAAATAAGATGTTGCTCTAGTTTCATAGGCTCCACAGAATTTTGTATATGGGGGGGAGTTTTGAAACTGTTTTCCTTAGCTTTTTCTAGCCACTAGATAGTAGCATCTGATCTGTTCTCTGTGTCCGGAGATAAGCATGTGGTTGTCTTCCAGTCAGTGTAAAGCCTAATTTGAAACCACTACCTCTTTTTTTTTTCTTGTGGTGCTGGGGATGGAACCCAGGGCCTCCCATATGCCAGGCAAGTGCTCTACCACAGGGCCCCACCCCCAGCCCATCACGACCTCATTTCTGGAAGCACCGAACCCTGATGTGTAGCTCGTAGAGATAGAGTTGAAATATTTTGAAAGACAATGTCCCTGTTTCAGGTTAGTCGTCTAGGGTTTTCAATACTGAGGAGTTATACTAGTTAGTTGGTTTTTCCTCCCATCCCCCAATCACCATTACTCAAACACCGTAGCTTGGAGAATAAAGGAAATTGCCTTTGAGTGTCATCATTCATCCAAATTCAGTCATCATTTACTTCTCACTATGTATACGGCACTGTTAATAATAGAAATCCACAAGTTATATGTTGCTGAAGAGCCAGAATTGACAGCTCAAGGCCATGCTTAATGAGTGTGGAGGAGTAGCCTGGGTCTGTGCTAGCCAGGCTGGAGATCAGCAAAGTGCTTAGAAGATTCCACTTTCAAACACACCGGTTTGGATTTGTAAAGGGGCCGTTCGTGTACGACATCCCCCTTTCACAGGGAAAAGTGAGTCAGAATGACTGGCTAGAAGGCTGTATTGTCAAGCCTTAGAATTTCTTGAAAATAGCTGGCATACTGTTTGAGATTGCAAATGGAACAGACACAGTTCTGTTCGGATGTGTTTGTGAGCTTCCAGTTTTTTATGCTAGAGATTTAAGGGGCAGCCAAGTGATGACAGTCAGTGATTGTCAGGTGGATCTGAATATGAATTTGTTCCAAGGATGTATAATTGACACTCAGACCATGCTGCTTGCACTTTCCTCACTACTGTAGATATTTGGGCTGGTAGGGTGGGGACTCAGGACTCTGACACTCTGTGTTAATCTACTTTTTCTCTCCAGACCCCCTCAGTGGTTAAAGCTTTAGTCTACCACTTTAAAAAGATTGTTCAGAACAGACTAGATTTCAGTGTCTCCAGAAAGAATGGTCTTGTCAGGCGTGGTGGCGCACGCCTGTAATCCCAGCACTCAGGAGGCTGAGGTGGGAGGATCACAGTGAGTTCGAGGCCAACCTGGGCTGCATGGTGAGTTCAAGGCCAGGCTGAACTACACAGCGAGACCCTGTCTTACAAGGAAAAAAAAGGAACAGAGTGGTCTGTGATTTTGTGTTGTTGGAGAAGGTGAACATAGAGCAGAACCCTCTTTAAAATGTTTTAATTGATTCATTAAAGTTTTTCCCATTGTCATAGTGCTAGAAGAAAGATTGGGTATCCGGAAACCAGGTGGAATATAATTTTTGAAGTTTATAGCTTTTCTGGATCTGCCAATGACAGAATTTCCCCTGAGTCCTACTAGCTACCCAAAATGTTAGTGTCCTGAAAGTATTGACTTTGGTATGAAAAATGAAGATCAGGCTTCCTAAGGTTTTAAAGGTGAAAGAGGTTTTACAGTTCCAAAGGGAGAAAAGGAGCCCAAAGTTTTGTGGTAGATTTTGTTGTGGTTGCTGTTGAGTTGACCTCTTCTGCTGTCTTCTGTTTTCCACAGTGAACACCTACCTCTTCATGATGCAGGCTCAAGGCATCCTGCTGCGGGACAACGTGAGGACCATAGGCGCTCAGGTGTATGAGCAGGTGGTTCGCAGCGCTTACGCCAAGAGGAACAGCAGCCTGAACGACTCAGGTATGTTCTTAGTAAAGAGGCGGTAAAATGGCTCTTCCCAAGAGAGGTAAATTTGGTTTGAATAATTATTTTCAAAGAAAAAATCATATTGTGGGGAAGGAAGGTTTGGCTGTATGTGACTTCAGTACTGAAATGAAAGCTTCTGCCTAGTGAGTCTTCTGCTAACAGTATGTGAGTGGTGGCGGGATTGCATTTTCACAGCTGTTCTTTCACAGGGAGGTAAAGGGTGTTTTGCACAGTACTCTTACAGATACCCCTTTCAGAGCAGTGGCCACCAGTATCTTGCCCCAGTGGGCAGAGGAAGCTTATGCTTATGCTCCAATAGAACAAGAGCACCAAAAGCTGTTTGTGGAGGGAATAATGGCTTTTAATCTCAGGAAATATATTTCCTGGTAGGGCCTCTCTGTGCTCACTGTATGGCTTAACACTGTGGGTCTGCTTGTTTAGTTTTTGAAAACACACGTCAGGGGGTGATGGGCAGCAGTCATAGCCTGTGATGTCTCGCGTACCTCATAATCTGGCCCAACTCTGCTGCTCCTGTTGGACCCACTTATATTTGTTCAACCCAGGAGGACTTCACCCCCATTGTTCATGAATGCTTTTGTTGAAATTTAGCAAATCTCCATTTCATAATGATCATGTAATCTGGCAACAGTTTTCACAAACTAATTACTAAAAAGCAACTTCTGGAAGGGAAGTTTAGATGATCACCTTGGCCTTCCCTCTCGGCCAGGTGTGATGTTCATCCTCTGGCTTATTCTCAGCTACAAAGTTGAGTTTGCATTACAAATGCCTGAGGTAATCAGCTTAGAAAAAGCCATGCTTTCTGAGGTTTCAGTGCATGCGTCCACTGGTTGCTTTTGGTGCTGTGATTGAGTAGCAGAGCAAAACTGCATACTTTTTGGCCATAACTCAAAAAGAGGAAATGGCCTGGTTCCTCTGTTTCCTCAGAGGACATGGCCCAGTGTCCTCCAAACCTACCCAGCAGAACTACACTTAACAGCTAGATTTTTTTTTTCCCCCTGAGAGATAAGAGACTTCTCCACACTTTGTCCTGCTGAGTGCATAAATAATACCCTCCTCTTCTCTGCCCAGATAAAGTGACAGAATATGCAGGTGCTGGCTCCAGGAGGTCACAGGCCAGTTTCCTTTGCACGGAGAGAGAGGGATCCAGTTAGAGATGGCCAGGAGGGATAACAAGCCCCGAGATGCGTATTGTCTCGTGGTATTCCCTCCCCTCTGTTCCTTGCTGCAGAGGGCCACTACACACCTCTCAGAGAGAGATGGCCATTTGTGACACAAAGGCCCCTCTATCTCCTCACAGCTGCCTTTGAAGATAAGCTTTGTTCTTCTCACCAAAATACATGGCCTCTATGATTTGGTCCCCAGTAGCAAACAAACCTAAGCTCATGGACCTGAGTCTGGTGACAACCTGAAGTCCTCCCACCAAACCTCACCCTCTCGAGTTTCCGTCACTTCCCAAGAGTGCCAAGTTGGGGACCAGACCTTCAGCACATGGGCCTTTGGGGGACCCATCAGATCTAAATAATAGCAGGTGTGTTTTAAACTGTTGGGCCAATCATTGCAACAACAGATCCAAAAGTAGACATGTCTGCCCCTGTTGCACCTTTAACTGTGGCCTTTATTGTAACATGAGTGTGAAGGACACGGAGAGGAAAGGACTCCGAGGCAAGGTGTAGATGGTGTGCTCAGTGTTGTGGCAGGTCTTACTGCTGACCATGGTTCTGACTCCCTTTGCTTTGCTTTTCGGGTGCTGGGGCTTGAGTGCATGTGTGTGGGGCCAGCGCCCTACCATTGAGCTCTCCACAACCCTCGACTAGCTACATTTATATAGACTACATTGCAAGTTCCTCAGCTCTAAGATAAAGCTGTTTTATTTCTTCTAGAAGTGAATGTAAGTATTTTCAGTCAGAAGATACTCCCTGTGCAGTGTGCACGCGTGTGTGCATGCACTTTGCAGTACTGGGATTGGACCCATGGTTTTCACACTGAAAGACACCCCGAGCCTTTTATTTTTCATTTTGAGACAGGTTCTTGCTGGGCTCAAACTTGTGATCATCCTGCCTCATTGTCCCAAAATGCTGGATTTCTAGACGTGCATATGCCACCATGCCTGATTCATGGGTGGTTAAAAAAAGTAATTTCTGAGATTCCATTTTATTTAGCACCCAAGATTTACTATTTGTTTAGCTGAGGATAACATACTTTTCTGTGGTTTCCAAGCCTGTTATTTAAAAAAAAAAAAAAAAGTACATATTTTAAAATAATCTTTCTTTTGTAGCAGTCCTCTCCTATTAAGCTTTAAGATTGTAGTTCACTGTAAAGTATGAAATTTCTTTGCAAATTTTTTGAATGAGATTTACTCAGTGGTGCTTGGAAAATCAAGGGGAAAGCTTTGCCTCATAAAGGGAAGTTAGAGCCTAGAAGTGACCACAACCTAATTTGTCAGTCTTGGCCGATTTATCATCAACAAAGGACTATAGTAGCAAACTGATAAGCTTTTCATACTTTGTTTCTCCTTCTGAGCTCTTTAGACAAATTGTGGTCACTGCTGGAATAAATTGCCTGAGCTCTAAACCATACCTAGGGTAAAGAAATATTGGCAGTTCTTAAGTGAAGTCTGAGCATATTTTTGGTGTCCTAATTCATCGTGTGTGGTGTTAGATCTGCACACAGGCCCCATGCGCATTGTTTACTGGATCCCGGTGTTATCTCCCTCCCTCTAGTACAAATAAATATGGGGGAAGGGAGCAGAGGTGGAGTGGCTTGGTTGTTTGACTAAGCCCTGACCCAAACTTTTCTCTAATTTATGGTTGTCTTAGTTACTTTTTCATTGCTACAAAATACTTAACACATACATGTTAAAGGAGGAAGGGTTTATTTCAGCTCACAGTTTGTAAAGGTTTTAGTCCATAGTCAGCTGGCTGCAAGGCAAGGGCAGCATGGCAGAAGGGCATTCAGGGAAGAAACAGTTCACGGCACGGCAGGCAGAGGGCAGCAAGCAGCAGCAGGCATACCTTCTTTCTGTCTGCATTCCATTGAGGCTACAAGCCTATGGATTGGTGTGACCCACACCCAGGGTTGGGCTTCCATTATGCACACCCTTACTCCTAGTATCACACCCTTAATCCGTCTTTGCACACTACATCCAGCTGCCTCTGAAGAACCTGACCTATGACCACATGAAGCTTTGTGACTTCTCTCCTAGGAGATAGTCACCTCTAAATGTGCTGATTCTTCATAATTCACAGATATTTGCCCTGATAACATCTTTCAAGTATGTTTAAATGTCCCTTTTTTTTCAGATAGAAAGGCAAGTGTTTGGTCTTTATTCAAATTTTACCTGAGACTGCTGGCCAGCCTTTTCCAGTGCCTGTTCAGTCTTGTTCTAGAGAGACAGAAGCAATTTCTAGGACAGTGATGAGAGGTCCCAGGTGGCATCTGCATAGCAGACATTCAGGAAAGGGTATGGGAGGATGAGAGAACACAGGTGCACAAAGATGTCTTTAGAGGAAGCATAGTGGGGAAGGGTATGGTGTTGGCTCATAGTGATCATTTCCTATTAAACAGACAAGGTAGTTGCTCTTGGAAAAAGTGTTAACTTCTGTCTACTTTTCTGTTCTGACTAGTACTTCTGTAAACACTGAATTTTAATGTGACTCTTGGAAGATGAGGGGATGGGAAGGAGGCAGTAAGAGGAAGGGGAGTGACTCCTTCATCTCCCGTAGAGGGAAGGTGACAACAGAAACGGGTGACCAGTTCCATAGGCAAATGGAGATGGGTACTCAGTATCCGTGCTAACAGTTGGCCAGAAGTGGGGAGAGGAAATGCTGCTGTTGAAATTACACTTTAATTATACAGTTGACTGTAAACTAAGTGCATAGAAGCCCATAACACTAAGAATGGGAAGGGAGCCCTGGTTACAGCAGTGTCCTCCACCACTGTGTTTCCTGATGAGTTCGGATTTTCAGGGACAGTGCAGAGGCCTCCAGTGCCTGCTCCCTGCAAGATGGCACAGTGGAAAAGTTCTCCGTGGGAGGCGTAGGAGTTGGAGATTGTTGCACAGTCTGAGTCGCCTCTCCCCTTCCCTATCTAGATTACCCTCTTGACTTGAACCACAGCGAGTCCTTCCTCCAGACCACAACATTCCTTCCTGAAGACTTCACCTACTTCGCAAACCACCCCTGCCCGGAGAGGCTCCCTTCCATGAGTGAGTAGAGCTCCAGCTCATCCTCCTGTGCCTGGAAACGAGTTTGTCTTTTTGCTGATTGAAATACAGGACAGTGTACTTGCCATCTGTCGGTCTACCTTCAAGGGAGAATATAAACAGCTCTCTGCTACTGAAAGCAGAGCCTGCAAGAGTCACTTGTGTCCTGGCTCCTCTTCACCAGCTCACTGCCTGTCCTCTTGGCTCTATTTTCTACTGTTTTGCTTTGGACCTTAATTATAACCTGGGGCTGGAAGGTTGTCAGGCAGCCAGCTTTGTCTTTTTAGTAGAAATCTTTCATTGGTTATAACTGATTTGATATGATTATGATTTGATATGGTAGAAGTTATTTTCTAAACAAGATGCTGGATTGAAAACTTTTGGGGAGGGCTGGGGATTTAGCTCAGTGGTTCGGTGGCCTGCCTTGCATGCGCAAGGACCCGAGTTCAATCCCTGGTACCCCCCAAAAAAAACTTTTGGGGAGATGATGGGGATTTAGCTCAGTGGTGCCCCACCTGCCTTGCAAGCCCAAGGTTCAGAGTTCAATCCCTGGTACCAAAAAAAAACTTATGGGGAGCTGAGTGTGGTGGCACACTCCCATAACCCCAGCACTCAAGAGGCAGGATTACAAGTTTGAAGCCAACCTGGGCTTTATATTGAGTTCAAGACCAGCCTACACTAACTATAGAGGAAGACCCTGTCTCAAAATAAATTAAATTAAATTAAAACTTCTGGATCTTCTTCTTCTTTTACTTTTTCCTTTTGGAATTCTGTATGGAATTTAAAACACTGATTAATTTTCATACATTTTCTATATTTTTGGGCTTCTTAGTTCTGCTCCTTTTTTTTCTCCCCGTTTTTAAATGCAAAAGGCAAATCCTAAATTTGCAGTGTGTTTTGTTTTGTTTCATTTTTGGTACCAGAGATCAAATTTGGGACCTAGTGCTTGCAAGGCAGGGGGCAGCACCACTGAGCTAAATCTCTGGCCCCGCTTTTTTTTGAGACAGGATCTTGCTTTATATATATGTCGTTCAGGCTGGCCTTGAACTCACTATGACCTCTCACAGCAGTCCTGCCTCAGCAGTAGTGCTGGGATCACAGGTGTACACCACCATACCGAACTCAGAATTTGCTTTATGTTTAAACATAGTGAAAATGGAAGTGTTGGAAACAGCCATGCATGGTGTCTTCACGCACTCTCATCCTTGAGAGAAAACTGATGATATGGCTGTGCAGCTTGGCTGGGAAGACTTTTTTTCATTTGTGTGTTAAACACGCACAGAGGCCTTCCCTTTAAAGTCAGCCTGGACCTGTATTTATATGTAAGCTTATTTTGGGAAGGCTCGATTTGGGATTAGAAAGGCTTTTGATGGCCCTAAAGGAAATGTTCTCAGGTTATCCTTTCCCTAGCATGCATTGTCATGGTTCCACTTGGCTAGAGTCAAAGACTAGTGTTGGACGTGATGGGTCAGTGCACCTGACTTTCTGGTCAGTGAGTTAAGAGATACAGTGCATTGGGCCTAGCTTCAAGAGCATGCTGGCGTGGCCCGAGCTGGCTGCTTTTCTCCTCCTTTGAAAAGTTTAACTTCTCCTTTACTTAGTCTTAATTTCTTTCTAGACTCTAGGTAGAAATGACTTTAGAGTCTTAATTCCTTGATCTCTTCTTTACCAGATGATCCTGATATATTGAAATGCAGAGGGAGGGGTTCCCATTCCTGTTAAAGAGATGAAGAAGGATTGAACTTCTCCTGAGAGTAAAACCCTCTACATGGTGGGAAGTCTATTGTTTTTCTGACCTCTTAACCTCCTTTTCCAGAGGGCCCAATAGACATAAATATGAGTGAAATCGGAATGGATGACATTCACGAGCTGTTCTCCAGAGACCCCGCCATCAAGCTTGGAGGTCACTGGAAGCCTTCTGATTGTGAGCCTCGGTGGAAGGTAGGGTGTGGGTCATCCCCGACGTCCTGGAAAGCCTGTCTGGGGTTTGCCATTCTTCTGAGCCACCCAGATTTGCAAATTGGAATGTTTGGTAGTTTAAACTCTACCACTCGTTTGATAGAAGTCTTTTGGAGAAGTAGGTTCCCCGAGGTCTCATCTGGAGCCACAGAAATTTACTTCATTGTGATGATGAAGACTTCACCATCCAAGCGGGAATATTAGCAAAGCCAGGGATTGGTTGTTCTCTAGTGACAAATGCACAAATCATCTCCACGAAGTCAGTACTTCTCACTGGTCTTTGCTGGTTACTGTGAGACTAGGGGACAAAGCGGTTATGTAGCTTGACACTGAGGATGGCAGGAGAGGAGCTGTAGTGTGGGATCAAGCTGAAGTCCACTCTTTCAACAAGTATTGATCAGAGTGCTTATTCTGTGCAGCACCACTGTCCTCAAAAGGGAAGGCACCTGGAAATGGGATGAAATAGTCCAAAGCTCTCTGGAAAGTAATTTTTGTTTCTGTTCTGCTTTACTTTAGCTTCCTGAAGTTACGTTACAAAAAGTCTCCTATGAATTAATTATCAACAGTGCCTGGCACAGAGCAGTTGTTTCCAGCCCAACACTGTTTGACCGTGAGCCCCTAGGAGCATGTGCAGGACATGCTCTGTAGATCTGTAGTCCCTAGATGCTTTCACAGAGTAGTATGTATAAAACTGTATAATGTGCAGTCTGCATACAGTTAAAAGCTTGTATCAACTTATTTGTGTGTTTGCTCGTCTACAGTTGTCTTTGAGCATTGGATCACAGTGTGGAAGGTGTCTTCCTAGGGTTGTGGTCTAGAATGGCTTCATTTAGGTCTGCAGTGTGCAAGGCATCGCACACGTGAGAGTAAGATGTGCTTAGTTCCGGGTGGACTTTCCAGCGTGGGTCTGCGTTAGAGGACATGGAGGACCAGCCAGCCTCCCGATCCACTTTGCAGGGGTGTCCAGCTCTGAAGCAGGAGGTCAGAGGACTAACTGGGTGGCTTATTTGGCTGTGACCCACTCTAGGTGGCCATCCTTATCCCCTTCCGGAACCGGCACGAACACCTCCCGGTCCTGCTCAGACACCTGATCCCCATGCTTCAGCGCCAGCGCCTGCAGTTTGCATTTTATGTTGTTGAACAAGTGAGTGGTCCTTTTTTTCTGGTTTCTGTTCTGAGGCAGCAGTTTATAGAGTGCTGCGAGCTAATCCATCTTCCTCGTGAAGAGCAAGTAAGGCAGAAATCTTGAGTTGCTCTGGGGTGAGAGGGGAGCAGAGGTGGCTTTCTGCTGTGGGTGTGAGATGTTGCCTGGTAATTTTGAACACAGGATAGAACTTTGTTTGAGAAAAGGCCCTGTGTAGGCATTTTGCTTGTGCCTGCTCTGGTTGCCTTTAGGCTCCCAGCCGGGAAATTTCCCCTAAGGTTAGGAGGTGTACCCAGTTCACAGGAGGTGGAGGTTCTGCACCAGATCACCAGACATGGCCTCCTATGCTTGTTAATTAATCACATGGCCTGGGGCAGTCGGCTTCTCTAAGCCTCAGGATTTGGTTTAGCTTTAATCTTTTTTCCCCCTCTCTGGATACTGAGGATCAAACTCAGGACCTTACACTGCTTGCAGGGTAGGCATGGAGCCACTGAGCTAACTCCCCAGCCCAGTTTAGCTTTAATCTTAAAAGTTTGGGGATTGAAGGTGGGCAAGGCAGATTCTATCCCCCTCCCGCCCCCAGCCCTGTGTGGTATTCTTGTGTGGTCTAGCTCTAGTTCACACACTCATGTTACTGACCTGGCATCTTCTAAGTCTGTGATCCTTGAGCTTGCAGATATTGTTGACAAGTGAAAGGTTTGCAAATTACCCTGACTCCCAAGTACCCACTTGCAGTCTTGCCTGCAAACCACTTCTAAGGCTCACTGCCTGTGCTGCTGCTGTGTGGCCACCTCATACCAGAATGAAGAAAAAGAGCCCAGCACCACTGTCCTCAAGCGAAGGAACCTGGAAATGGGATGAAATAGTCCAAAGCTCTCTGGAAAGCAATTTTTGTTTCTGTTCTGCTTTACCTTAGCTTCTTGAAATTATATTATACAAAGTCTGCTATTAATTATCAAATATTTCTACTTGATTAAATATTCCTTATGTCTGTCCCAAGCTGGGGGACACTCGCAATTGGCAAGGGTGAATAAATGTTAGCATTTAAATCAGATAGGCTGTTAGCAATGGGACCTGGTCTCCTCGTGAGCTGCCAGATTCTTTGTCAATAGGTAGGAGTCCCTGCTATGCTAAGAATGAAATGTCCTTCAGAATAAAATGAGCCAAAGCAAATAGAGAAAAACCTTTCTACCTACTAGGTTTGTTTGATGAAATATTTCCAGATTGGTTGCTATCGCAAAGACGGTGACTTGCATGGGCTGGGGATTTAGTTCAGTGGTGCTGTACCCGCCTGGAAAGCACAAGGTCCTAAGTTCGATTCCCGGTACTGGGAAAAAAAACAAAGTATACTTTGAGCTGGGAATGTAGCTCAGTAGCACCCCACCTGCCTGGCAAGCACAAGGTCCTGAGTTCATTCCCTGGTACTGGAAAAAAGAAAAACAGTGAGTGGCAAGTAATGGTAATGTGTTAAATAAAAATAGGGCCGGGGATTTAGCTCAGTGGTGCGGCGCATGCCTTGCAAGCACAGGGTCCTAAATTCAATCCTTGGTACCAAAAAAGAAAAGAAAAGAAAGAAAGAAATGGTAGTGTTTCCTCTTCCCCTCATTTTCCTTACATCCTGTTACATGGTGGACTTTCCACACTCAGCGGCCCTGGGAAAGAAGAGCTTGTGTTTGTTACTACTTTGATTTCTTAAAAAAAACCAAGGCTGGGTGATGATTGATTTCTGAGTCACAGATTGTGTTTTTAATGAGTAATGCTGGAGACTTATTCACAGGTGCCCAGTGATTTTTTAAATATGGTTCTACTAAGCTCTTCTTTTGATGTGAGGGCAACAGAATTTTTGCTTCAAGAATCTGTCTATAGTTTTTTGAGATAGGATCTCACTATATAGCCAGACAATCCTCTTGCCTCAGCTGCTCGAGTGTTGACATCAGCATACACCACCACATCCAGTTTAAAAATCTTTTTAAAAAGAGTTTTTCTTCCTTTAGGTTGGCACTCAACCCTTTAATCGAGCCATGCTTTTCAATGTTGGTTTTCAAGAAGCAATGAAGGACTTGGATTGGGACTGTCTGATTTTTCATGACGTGGATCACATACCAGAAAGTGATCGCAACTATTATGGGTGTGGACAGATGCCCAGGCACTTTGCAGCTAAGTTGGATAAGTATATGTATCTGTGAGTATTTTTTTTTTTTTTTTTTTTTTTTTTTTTTTTTTTTTTTTTTGGCATAAAAGATGAGAGATACAAAGGTGAAATGCAAATTAGCTGCAGCCCAAATATCTTATCAACTGATGAATGAATAACCAAAATGTGAGGGGCTGGGATTTAGCTCAGTGGTTCCACTGCCTACCTTGCAAGTATAAGGTCCGAGATCAATCCCTAGTACAAAAAAAAAAAACCCCAAAATGTGAGATATCTGTACAAGGGAATACCATTTGCAATAAAATGGAGAGAAGTGCTTACAGGTGCTACAACATGAATGAATAAACTTTGAAAACATTGGGCTAAGAAGCTGGGCACAACGGTCACATGATATGATTCCATTTTCTGTATATACAGTGTCCAGTACAGGCAGATCTATGGAGACAGAAAGCAGATCAGCAGCTGTCTAGGGCTGGGGGCGCGGTGCCGTAGTGATTGTCAGTGGTGCAGGCTTTGGGGGATGATGAGATACGATGATGAACGTTGTGATTGTACAACTCTGTGGATATACTGAACACCGTTGAATTATGTACTTTAAATGAGTGAATTGTATGGTATGCCGGGTATATCTAAGTGAGCTGTTGTTAGAAATCAGCTAGGAAAAATTCCCTTAGCTCCTTTGGTGGGTACAGGTCAGCACGAGGGGCCACGTGAGTAGAGCATAGGGAGTCTTGTTACGTGTCTAGGAGGCCACATGTTCTAGAAGAAGTCACACAGGGGCCTCATGCTCTCTCTTCTTTCAGGCTTCCCTATGCTGAGTTCTTCGGGGGCGTGAGTGGCTTAACGGTGGAACAGTTTCGGAAGATCAATGGCTTTCCCAACGCTTTCTGGGGCTGGGGTGGAGAAGACGACGACCTCTGGAACAGGTACTGCCCAAACCCTGCCCCCAGAGATGCCTGAGGCTGTGCCAAGCAGCTGTCCAGTGGGGTGTGTAGCTGTGTCCTGAGCCACTTTTTTTGTCAGTTCAGTGTGCGTGTGTGTGTGTGTGTGTGTGGTACTTGGATTGAGCTCGGCCTTGCGCATGCTAGGTGAGTCCTCTACCACTTTCAGCTCTCTCCCAGCTCTGAGACAGGCTCTCATTGTTTGTTACCCAGGCTGCTTCGAAGGTGCAGTCCTACCTCACCGCCCCGCCTCCCGAATAGCTGGGATTATAGTGTGTACCACACACCCCTTCCTTACTAACCACTTTTCTTTTTGGTACCGAGGATTGAACTTGGGACCTTGTGCTTGCGAGGCAGACAGCGGCACCACTGAGCCAAATCCCCTGCCCACTAACCACATTTTTAAAGGTTAAAAGGAGGTGAAATTCATTTTGGTCTTATGATACAGATAGTAACATATCTGATCCATGATGTCTAAAATAATGTATCTGTGTATGATTAATATAAAGCACTGAGATATTTCACACTCATTTCTTTTTTACTAAGTGTTTGAAATCTGGTGTATGCTTTATATGGCAGCATCTGCCCCTTCTCAGTAGCCACCCTGAACAGAGTAGCTCCCCAACGTTCTTTGAGTGGATTTTAGAAGCAGCTGGGTAGTTTTCTTTTGTGATAGAGATAAGAATATTTGGAGTCAGAAATTATTTTTAGGGGATTTAGCTCAGTGGTTCTGCCACCTGCTTCATAAGCACAAGGCCCGAGTTTGATCCCTGGTACCAAAACAAAAACGTGATTTTTATATATTTAAAAATTTATACAATACGTGAATGTTAAAATGCATTGTCTACAATGTGAATCCTGAAAAATAATGTTAATTACCATTTCAGTGAGTTTGTCTTAAAGGGGTGGTAAGCAAACAGTAAGCTAACATTTGTTTTTGGGGTTTTTTTTTTTGTTTTGTTTTTTGAGACAGGGTCTCACTATGTAGTTGAGACTGACCTGAACTCACTATGTAGCCCAGGCTGGTCTCGAGCTTACAGTGATCCTCCTGCCTCAGCCTCCCGAGTGCTGGGATTACAAGCATGTGCCACCACGCCTGGCTAACGTTAGTTTTTTAACTCCGTAAAATAGCAGTAGCGTAAATCTCAGGGTTGTCAAAATCAAGAGAGAGGACATCTATGTGCCTCTTCGTAGTGTCTGGCGTGGGACAGTGCCTGGGAGCTGCTGTTTGTGTCAGCATTAAATCCTCTGGGCACGGGGTGCACGGCTCCTTACATAGCAGCTCCCTGGTGTGTGTAGTCTTTTCCCACTCGTATAGATTGTAACAGTGGATGTTCTTCTGCCCGGTTTTTACTCGTTTGTATGAAAAATCCCTAGAAATGAAATATGGTCAGAAAATAATCATTTTTAAGATTCTTAAGCTATATTATAACAGAGTGCTCCCCCTCCTACCATCAGTGATACCTAAAGTTTACATTTCACGAGCATTCTGTGTACAAACTGCATGTGGACTCTTGGTGACAGTGCACAGATTTAACCACGCCATCCCGCGAGGCTTGTGTTACACAGCTGTGTGAACAGTCCTGAGTGTGCATGGTGTTGTGTTTTCACAGAGGAATAAATGGTAACCTATAAGGAACAAATGTAAAATAATTTAATTCCCACCATATATCTATTTGCTTTCTAGCCTGGCTTTTCTTTTTATTTATTTATTTATTTATTTATTTATTTATTTATGTATGTATTTATGTATTTATGTATTTATGTATTTATGTATTTATTTATTTATTTACAGGGGGATTTTTGAGACAGGGTCTCACTAGGTAGTTGAGAATGACCTGGAACTCACTATGTAGCCCAGGCTGAGCTGGAACTCACAGCAGTCCTCCTGCCTCAGCCTCCCAAGTGCTGGGATTACAGGCGTGCGCCACCACACCCAGCTCCTAGCCTGGCTTTTAAAAAGAAAGTATGAGTTGGTTACAAGTTAATAATTTGCTGGTCAGCGTTCAGAAGATACAAAGGTGTATAAACCAAAGGGCCTTAGTCTCATCCCCATTGCCGTCTGTTTTATTCCCAGGAAGTAGCCCTTTAACAAGCTGTTTCTTCCTGTTCACCTCCAGACAGCTTGAGACAGGTGTCATCTGTGCATGCCCCACACGCAAGGGATTGAACTCAGGACCTGTGCTTTCGAGGTGGCGTGGTGCCACTGAGCTAAGTCCCCAACCCGCAGTATCTGCATTTTTAGTAACAATTACCCAGATACACAGTGCTTCATTTTACTCCTCCTTTTGATGAACATCTAAGTGTTTATGTTTTTTAATATCCTTTGTTCACATGGACAAATTTTTTTAGATTAAATTCCTAGTTGTGAACTACACAGGCAAAAAATATATACACTTTTAAATTTGGATTTTTTTTTTTTTTTGGCAAAATCCTTTTCCCAGTTCTGACCAATGTTGCGTTACAATGCCTATTTGCCTGGTCTCTTTTCTCTGTCTTTTATTTTGGAGGAGGATTGTGTAGGTGGGGTGAGTGGTAGGGATCAATATATATATATCACTTTTTTTTCTTTGGTACCAGGGATGGAACTTGACTACACTTGCAAGGCAGGTGGCTAGACCACTGAGCTGAATCCCTGGCCCACAATATATCTTTTTTTTTTTTTTTTGGTTATTTGAGACAGGATCTCACTATGTAGTTCACCCTGCTCTGAAACTCACTGTGTAGCCCAGGCTGGTCTCAAACTCCCAGCGATCTTCCTGCCTCAGCCTCCCAAGTGCTGGGATTGCAGGCATGTGCCACCACGCCTGGCCAAAGCATTTAATTTTTTTTTTTGGTACCGGGGATCGAACTTGGGTCCTTGTGCTTGCGAGGCAGGCAGCAGAACCACTTAGCTAAATCGCCAGCCAATATATCAAATTTTAAAAGAAGAAAACACAAAGCAAAAGCCTTAGTCCTAAGGTTTAACGTTGAGATCTCATCCATACTAGGCTAGCACTGCACTGCTGAGCTGTGTCCAGCGGGACCATTTTCTCATGGCGCACAAACTACTTCACGCTCTTTCCCAATCTGATGGATGAAGACAACATTGTTTTCCGTATACTCCTGGACGAGTGGTCCTTGGGGCCAGGGGCACCTCCAAAGCTGTGTCTCAGCTCTCCTCACTCCCAGGCAGTGCCCAGCCCAGCAGAGTCCCCAGGTGCGGGGGGCTGTGGCTGTTTTTCTCCAGAACCCTGCACATTCTCACGCAGACACAGGCATCCCACCTTTGTTAGATTTGAGCAAGAGCACAGTCTGATATGTCAAAGTCAGGTCCCATCAGTGGCCCATCTGCCTTCCTGTATTAATTGTCTCTTAGACCCAGATGGAGTTGCATTTAAGCCCAGCTTGGAAAATCTTCCTTTTACTAACACCCTTGAGGATGAGTAGCCTAAGTGCCACCTCTGAATTCTACTGCCCAGTAGTGACTTTTCATGATTTGTGTGGTTGCCTGTGAAGATAAGAGCCACATCACATAAAGTCGTTCATCTTCGTGGGGAGACGGAGGCCTCAAGTTAAGAAGATGCATTGTGACCTGGCTGGATTGTTTTGTCGTAGGTTGTGGAAGGGCAGGTTCTGTGAACCGGTGAGGGAAGTGTAGCCAGCCGGAGGGTGTGCAGGCACACGGCTGTGTGTCCCACATCAGGCCTCACGAGTTTGGTTTTTCCTCTTACACTGTCTGGTATGTTGTAGATTTCTTTAAACTTGTGAACTTACTGGGAGGATAAACAATTTGAATGCTTAGGTGCAGAGGAATTTGTTCACCCGGGAGTTCCTTGGCCTTAGCACACACAGCGTTTTGGCCCAGAATATTCTGTTGTGAGACTGACCTAGTGGCATCCCTGTCCTCTGCCCACCGGATGCCCGTAGAGACACATGCGTGCGTGCACACCTATTGTAGCAGCCAGAAATGCCTGCGCAAAGTGTCTTATCCCCTCACCCAGGTGACCACTGGTTCAAGTTAAACAGCTGGCTAGCTACAGGAATTGTACGGAAGGTAGATGTTTCATTTCCACTCCAAGTTCAAATTTTTGCCTCTGTTTGCCAGTTGTTCCTTCTAGGCTGTGGCTGTTCTTTGATTGCAGCTCTGCTGGTTGGACTTTGTCCTCACTTCTGCTCATTTCTACAGTTCAAAACATTCCCAACATAATTTCCAGTTAGGGCTTTTTAAAAAGTAGAGTGAAGTTGGGCATGGTGTCGCATGCCTGTAATCCCAGCCCTTGAGAGGCTGAGGCAGGAGGATCGCTGTGAGACCAGCCTGGGCTACATAGTGAGTTCCAGGTCAGTCTCAACTACATAGTGAAATCCTGTCTCAAAAAATGAAAACAAAACAAAACAAAAGTCTGAATTCAAATATTTCTAAGTATTTGTGGTTTTTCTCTTCAACCTTTTAAGTCCCACAACTAACCCCCCCAAAAAGTTCATATTTGTTTGTATTTTAATGAATTTGCCCCGACAGGTGTTTTGAAAGCAGTCGGCTTGTATTTTCCTTGTTATATTTTCTTAACGTATCTGATTTAATTGAATCACAAAACTGATAACAAGTGCAGGGAGCATAAGCGTTGGGATCAGCTACTGCCAACTTTTGTGGTGTCTGGCTGTCGTGGTGAGAGAGTGACACGTTGGCCTCCAGCACGTCCAGAGCTGTAGGAGCGGGGTGAGGAAGCTTCTGCTCTGCTTCATGACAGGGAAAGCTCACAGCATGTCTCTTAGGCTTTGGTTACGTGGGAAAGGTGGGAGAGGACTTTTGTCTAAAAGCCTGTTCCCTTGGTCTTGGACAGGGTACAGAACGCAGGCTATTCTGTGAGCCGACCCGAAGGTGACACAGGGAAATACAAGTCCATTCCTCACCACCACAGAGGAGAAGTCCAGTTTCTCGGAAGGTTGGTACGGTTCACATGCTCCCCTTACAGGTGTCCTCTGCATGTTCACTGTGTGTCCCAGTGTCTCAGTGCATGTTAGAGCTGACAGGGATTAACCACACCGCCTGTGTCTGCTTGTGCTGTGGTGAGAATTTTGGTCTTTGGTGAGAATTTGGATAGTGAGGTCTCAGGGAAAGTCCCTTGCTTGCTCTCTGTCCCCATCCCAAGTGCATGGTCTTTTGCATCCGGGGTTGCTGGGGGCATTCACTCTGCCTGCCACCCTCCCAATACAGGCAGTGTCCTGAGCTTCATGGTGCAGCAGCTGCTGTGTTCTGCCTTTTCATCAGCCGCCACATGAGCCAGAAAATGTCGCTGTGTGTTCACAAGTGACTTTGGCAAACTGTGGGGAGAACTGTTATCCAGACAGGCTTTGCAGGGGGGGGGTGGGGTCCTGGGGATTGAACTCAGGTCCTGTGCTTTCAAGGCAGGCGGCAGAACCACTGAGCTAAATTCCCAGCTACCAGACAAGCATTTCTGTTTTTGTTGTTTTTTTGATTTGTTTTGTTTTTGGAGACAGGGTCTCACTATGGAGGTGAGACTGACCTGGAACTCACTGTATAACCCAGGCTGGTCTCGAACTCACAGCGATCCTCCTACCTCAGCCTGAGTGCTGGGATCACAGGCTTGCGCCACCACCCCCGGCTTTAAGCCAAGCAATTCCAGTTGCTAAACCCTGCCTGTGAGATGGGGAGGGCACCAAGCACGTTCTGTGTGCTCTGTGGTCTGCCCTGCTGTAGTCTCACTTCCTCCCCACACACTTGCTGACCATGGCCGAGTCCCTTCACACCACTGAGCCTGGCTGGCTTCTCCTCGTGGGGGCCGGAGGGGCGTTTGATGTGGAGAAGTAGTAAGTGAGGCCGCTGGCAGCCATAAGTCCTGGTTGGGCCTGCCAGCCTGCCCCATCCTCTCAGGGCTTGCCCCAGGCAGCCCTCTTCCAGGAACGAGCACTCAGCCCCCTCTGTGCTTGGCCTCCCAGGTACGCCCTGCTGAGGAAGTCCAAGGAGCGGCAGGGGCTGGACGGCCTCAACAACCTGAACTACTTTGCAAACATCACGTACGACGCCTTGTATAAGAACATCACTGTCAACTTGACACCCGAGCTGGCTCAGGTGACCGAGTACTGAGGGAGAGAGGCGTGTGGGCTTTGCCATCGCCACCACAGACGTAGCCTGGTGACCCGTCGGGGTCTCCACAGGAAGGGCCGAGAAGCAGAGTCTAAGGAAGGATCACAGGGTTCCAGGGAAGACCGACACAGCACCCGCACAGACGCCATCGCTGCAGGGCCGCTGGGGCCGAGGGGTCGTCTCTGGACGCCCTCGTCAGCGCTGGCTTTTTGTTTCCATGAGACAGACGTCTGTCCTGCTGCCCTCTCCCCGTCTCCCCACCCTAGCGTCCCATCGGCACCACACTCTCCAGAACCCATGACGGGACGCTGGGAGCCGCCCTGGGCCTGGCTGGGCCGCCACTGCGAACACCTTTGGAGCCCGGGCAGCCCGGCCTGGCAGCTGCGCGCCAGGAAGCGCTGGAACTCCGCACCTCCGCACCATTCTTTGCATCTCCGGTGTTCTCTGTTTTTTGTTTTTTTTTAAATTACTTGCTTTGGGAGGGGATTGAGGGTGGAAGGGAGGGATTTGGGAATGATAAATAGTAAATATATAACAATCACTTCTTGAAGAAGTATAATTGTAAATAAGCCATGTAAAATGCCTTTTTTAAATTTAATTTTATAGCTGGCTCCAGTTCAAAGTGAGGATTTATACATTAGATTGCATATTTGGTTGGCAAATGCAGGAACTCAGTTAAAATGCAGTTGAAGAGTCTCATCTCCCAAGTGGCTGTCACTTTGAAAGGGACTGGATGCGGAGCTTGTCCTCCCCGGAAGCAGGCCTCTCCTCCCTCCTCCCTTCTTCCAGGAAGGAGTCCTGCTCCTGCCTTCTGCTGCGGCCCCTCCTCCCTGTGGCCGGGCACACTTGTCCCCCAGGCCTTCGCTAGCCCGGAGTCCACTGCTGCGGGGTGCACCACCGTCCCTGCCCGCATCTGAGCCCTGGGGCCCCTGTGTGCCATCCGGCGCTCTGGACTTCAGTGTTTTTCCCTTACCCTGTGGAGCTGTCCAGTGTCGGAGCTGTGCCTGAATGACCAGCTGGCTTCAGCGACTCCTTTTTCCCTATTGGTTTCTGGGAAGATTGTCCAGTTACTCTGTCTAGGTTTCACGGAAATGAGGAACGATTTTGCCAGGGTGCAGGTGACACTTGTGTGCCGTGTGGGTCGGCTGAGCTCCAGGTGAGACCAAGTCAGAGCTTTGAAATTTAGATTAGCAAAGCTCCAGTTTCTGAAGTCAGATTCTAAATTGCATTTGAATTTGTGCCTCTTTGTTTTTCCCTGAGCCAAAGCCCTCAGTTTATATTTCTGGCCTCTTCTGTGGGATTCTGGAAAATGCCAGGTTCCCCCCTCCATAAAACATATTTATATATTGTGATTCGGAGTACTTTCTGAAAAGTACTTTGTATTTTTTTTAATTGCCTTGTTTGCCTTCAGCTTCTTAATTTTCATGGTTTACATGGGTTGTGTGTAGGGCGTGTGGGTTGGGTTTTTTCCGTTGCATGTGTTGGTTCCGTGGACATATGATCCCCACACGCTGTGGGAGTGATTGGCCAGGCCTTGTTTTTTGTTTGTTTGTGTGTTCTTTTGAAGAAGAGAGTGGTATTTAGGAAATAAATTGCAATGCAATGCTCTTATCGGCTCATATGAGAGAGCAGATACCTGCCCTTGACAGTGCTGGTAAGTTGTATCATACATTTAAAAAGAATTGTAAGCATTTCGTGCTTTATACACCTTCATGAGAGAACATCACACAGAAGTTTATTTGGTTTCCTTTGTCTTACGGTGCATAGAACAGTAAAGACTCCTGCACCCTGACTCCCTGCCACCTGGGCCTTCACCCTCGTCCTCCTATCTCTGAAGGCTGTGAGCTGCTTTTGATGTGATAGAGCTGCAGTGTCCCGGGAAGGGCTTTTCCAGGACACACGAGTGCTGGGTTAGGGATGTCACGTGTGTGCAGCAGTGCCACGAGCTGGTGACCTTGTTGAAAGCCCTGTATCAGTGTCATTGCCACCAAGTGTTGTGTTGGCTGAAGGCTGACACATGATTTAATCACTAAAATGCTGATTTGAGGACAAAGGGAAAGTTACCTTTTCACTGCTTAGAGACATTTATATCCCCTTGCAGTCATGCCTAAGTTTATTAGTATGGAATTTCTTAAAACACTCTGTTAATCATGTCCCCACCTATCTGAATATTATATGGGAAGTGTAACAGTTACAGGCATATGGCCAGGCACATGTGCTGTTAATAGCATGAAATTCTCGTGTTGAAGAAAAAAGATAGCTGGGGATTTAGCTCAGTGGCTCTGCTGCCTGCCTGGCAAGCACAAGATCCCAAGTTTGAATCCCCGGTTTAGAAAAGAAAAGAAAAGAAGAACCAAATGTGACCTTGGACATATTTTGGCAGCTGAAATTCTTCAAGGCTACTGACAGGTGAACCCTTAAATCAACCTAGTCTTTGCTGTGTGCAAGAAAGGCTCCCCTCATACTGGTTTTTTTTGGGGAGGTGATATTTCCAGAAATATTCATGGTGACATAACAGGGACTCTTTTGTCAGAGCTCCTCCACCACAGACATGAGTAGCTGAGCAACAGCCACATGTAGTGATTGTATCCACCCACCAATGACAATGGCATTGGACGTAGCTAGCTTATTTCCATCACTAGTTTTTTTGAGCTTGCTCTTATGTTTTAAGAGGTGCCAGGGGTACATTTTTGCACTGAAATCTAAAAATGTTTTAAAAACACTTTTCACAAAAAATAGTCCTTTGTCATTACATTATTTACTCATGTGTTTGTACATTTTTGTATGTTAATTTATGAATGATTTTTTCAGTAAAAAATACATATTCAAGAACCAAACCTTGGTGGTTGTCTCTCTTTTTATCTATGGCAGTTTCTTCACAGGGGCCTTTCCTTCCTTTGGGAGGTTCAGCCTCCAGAGCTGTGACCTGGGGTGTCCTGAGGTAAATGCTGCCCACAGGGCAGCAGCAAGAAGAGCTCTTAGGGGAGGTGGCAGCCCCAAGCCCCCTGAGCTGCCCGTGGCTGCCCAAGCTGCCGCCTGCCCCGGTACCATCCAGGGAGAATGGCCGTGGGGCTTGGTTCCTGAAGTTCCTGAGGTCAGTCCAGAGTTCACTCTGTCGTGTTCTGCTCAGAGATTATAATCACAGCTTCTGTTCATCGAATATGTACCACTCACTATTTATTCACCGAGTTCGGGTCTGTGCCTCGGCACTTGGGACTTGAGATGCAGAATAAGTCCGGTTTCCTGGCTGCCTGGCCTTGGCCAATGCGGGTGTGAGGAAGGGAGTGGAGCCACACCGAGCTCTGGGGAGAGCTGTGGTGGTAACATGGCAGGGGAAGGACCCTGGAGGTGTGGGGGCAGCGCTGGGGCGGTGCCCAGCTGCAGGGACAGGAGAGAAGTGGGGGACTGCTTTGGTTTGGGGTGTTTTGGTACCGGACACTGAACTCGGGCCCTCATGCTTGTGAGGCAGGCGGCAGCGCCGCTGAGCCGAATCCCTGGCCCAGCTCTGCTTTGTTTTGCTTCCCGGTACTTCTCACTCTGCTTCCATATTGGCTTTATGTTATTTGTTCCTTGACTGTCAGCCCTGCTACAGTGTCACCCTCAAGAAAGGAGACTGTTCGCTGTGCCTGCCTAGCAGAGTGTGAGGTCCTGAGTTCGATCCCTGCCACCGCACAAAAATAAATTAAAAATTTTAAAAAATTTTTTTGGCTGGAAGGAGACCGCTCTTTATTCCATCCCCAGCGCCAATAGTTCATCCTCCTAAGACAGCGCAGCTGGGGCTGCCGGACCTCCCCTCCACTCACCTGAGCATGGGCAACGCCCCAGGGCCAACTCCCTGACCTTTTCCGGATGCGGAGGTAAAACTCCTGGAGCCAGGTCGTCCTGTACGTGCAGTGAACTCTCTTCACTGGAGCTCTGATGTCTGGGCGTGTGGACCGCATGGCACATCTGATTGGAGCGGTGACTTACGGGAAAGGACACGCACAGTGGAGGACATGCGTGACCCGGCCCCCGGTCAGCCACGTTTTCAGTCTGGATTTGGAAGACCCAGGGGGTTCAACATTTTAAATTCTAATGGCACCCTCAACTCTCCAATTTCTTTTTCCCTGCTGTCAGAGATTGAACTCAGGACCTTGGTTTGTGAGCAGGCAATGACACCACTGAGCTGAATCCCCGGCTCACCCAGCGGCCCCAAGCTGGTACTGTTTTTTCCCCTGGTACAAGCCATTCACTCTGAGCATACCATCACCTAATTAAACTTAGTTAAACTTGGCTGCTTTTTCCTTTCCACTGTGTGCCACATCCAATTCTTTGTCCCACTCAAGAACCTAGAAACCAAGCCGGTTGTGGAGGTCCAGGCCTGTGATCCCTGCACTCCAGAGGCTGAGGCAGGAGGGTCACCACAAGTTGGAGGCCAGCCTAGGGTACATAGTGAATTGAAGGCCCGGCTTAACTATGCAGTGAGACCCTATCTCAAAAAAACCAGACTGGGACCCCATCACCCATGGTAACAGAGACACGAGTTAGAAATCGAGGAGGTAAGCAGATGGGGCTGAGCCCTCTAGAGAGTCAAACACTACTGCAGCGGTGACCAGAGACATGGGCTGCAGGCCAGGCCTCCGTGCTTCCCCAAGGGATAAGTGATAGCACCTGGTCAGGTGGAACCTAGATAGGCGTCATTGACCTCGGTGAGTGACCAGGATCCCCAGATCCATCCGTCCCTGTGAAGTTCTGTTCTCTCCATGTACCCTTTCTGTGTGACTTCTTTCGCCATTGGATCACTGAGGACTGGGGATTTTCTCAGCACAAAGACCAGGAGGGAGAGTCTGTTGGGAAGTCTTTTAAGCCCAAGAAGAAAATAATTGTCACCCCAGACTTATATACTACAAAATTAGCCTTTGAAATTGGCGGAGAAGGACCAGGGATTTGGCTCAGTGGTTCTGCCGCCTGCCTCACAAGTACAAGGACCCGAATTCAATCCTCTGTATTAAAAAAAAAAAAAAAAATGTGAAGCCTAAAACTGGCAGAGAAGACTTTCTATGACAAATACATGACCGAATTCAACTCTGTATTAAAAAAAAAAAAAAAATGTGAAGCCTAAAACTGGCAGAGAAGACTTTCTATGACAAATACATGACTACTAGATCAGCACTGCAGAGAATCCTTAATGGAATCCTGGGTAGATAGGAGGCCACAAGCAACAAAGACCCCAAAGGAAAGTACATATCCAACTGGGAGAGTAATTAAACCAAAAGAAAAAATAAAGGAATCAGCACTAGCTGGGAGTGGTAGCACACATCTGTAATCCCAGCACTTGGGAGGTTGAAGCAGGAGGATCACCTCAAGTTTGAGGCTAGCCTGGACTACGTAGCAGGACCCCATCTCAAAAATAAATCAGCACTGAAGAAAATAATGCAATGACGGGATTCAATAAGCTGGATGATTGCTGTGAGTTCCAGGTCAGTCTCAACTACATAATGAGACTTTCAAACAGAACAAA